GTTCAATTCCTCAGCACCACATAAGCAAAAAGAAAAAAGCCGGAAGTGGTGCTGTGGCTCAAGTGGTAGAGCGCTAGCCTTGAGCTGAAGAGCTGAGAGGCAGCGCCCAGAACCAGAGTTCAGGCCCCACAACTGAACCAAAAAAAAATAAAATTAAATAAAAATAAAATTAAAGACACCAATATTTTTCTTACATTTTTCATGTTAAATTTATATATATATATATATATATATATATATATTTATGATTTTTTTTTGGTCAATCCTGGGGCTTGCACTCAGGGCCTGGGCACTGTTCCTGAGCTTCTTTTGCTCAAGGCTAGCACTCTACCACTTGAACCACAGCACCACTTCTGGCTTCTGTATGTGATTCTGAGGAACCAAACCTGGGCTTCATGAATGCTAAGCAAGCTCTCTACCACTAAGCTACATTCCCAGCCCTTATCTTAAATATATTAAATAAGGTTACTATAGCAAAAATGTCCAGATGCAATAGTGAAATGTTATAGCCTTCTAGAAATAACATTATTTACTGACTTTAGTTACTATTTTAAACATTTTTTAAACTATCAGCATTATGTTAAATAACTGATAATGTAAAAGCAATGAAGAAATTTTCCTTACATTAACCTAAATCAATTCTTCTATTTTCTCTCTCTCCCTAGCTCAGTCCCTCTCGCTCCTTTTTCTTTTCCCTCTCCCTCCTCTCCTTCTCTCTCTCCTCTCTTTTCTTTAATCAAGTGCCATATGGGAACTGCAGGCTCTGCACTGAACTATAGTTGTCTTCTCTGAGGACCATCTATTCAGCTACTCTTGGGAGGATACATTTTGTTCCTGATAATATTTTCTTCCTGGTCATCTCTTACGAACCACATGCCTACACAGTTTTAAAAAGTAAATATTGCCAGGTGCCAATGGCTCATGCCTATTATCTTCACTACTAAGGAGACGGAGATCTGAGGATCATGGTTCAAAACCAGCTGCAGAAAAGTCCATCAGATTCTTATCTCTAATTAATGACAGTAAAAGCCAGAAGTGGTGCTTGTGGCTCAAGTAGTAGACTAGCCTTAAGCAAAAGCAGCTCAGGGACAGCACCCAAACCCAGAGGTTAAGCCCCAAGCCCAGCAGGAAAAAAAAAAAAAAAAAACAACTCATTACCTGACTTATTAAAAATGTAGAAAAAAAGTCAATACTTGGAAACTATGTTTATAAAAGCAGCAGTCTATTCTTCCCCACCTAATTCCCATTCTCCAACACAATTATCCCCACTCTCCATAGTAACACATACATTATACAAAATTCTGCCATCTTAAACCATTTTTTTTGAGACAGTGTATCACTATGTTGCTTATGCTGACCTTGAACTCTGGATCCTCCTGCCTCAGCTTTGGGAGTGCTAGGACTAGGCATGTGCCATCATGTCTGTCTTAACTATCTCTAACTATATAGTTCAGTGACATTCAATACATTCACTGTTGTGCAACCACTTCTACCATTCATCACCAGAACGTTTTCATCTGCACAAACTCAAAGTCTATACCCATTAAACACTAACCTCCCATTCTCCCATTTCTAGCTCCTAATAACCACTATTGTGCTTCCTGTCTTTATGAATTTAATAATAGTAGAACCTTATATTAAATGCGGTCATAGACTATTTGACCTTTCTGACTTTTATTTTACTTAGCAAAACATCTTCAAAGTTAATCCATATTGTAACATGTGTTAGAATTTCCTTCTTTTATAAGGCTAAATAACATTCCATAATATGTACTATAAGCATCACATTCTGTTTATCCATTAGCACTTGGGTTGTTCCCATATTTTCCTATTGTGAATCATACTGCTATGAAGATGATGCACACATATACTCAAGTCCCTACTTTCAAATTCTTCTGAATGTGTATCTGAAATTCTTGGAAGAGGAGGGGTATGATCAGAAACTTGTATTTTTGTTTAACTTTTTAAATCAAGGTTAGTGTTCTACCATGAGCCACAGCTCCCCTTCTGGTTTTTTTGCTTGCTAACTGGAGATAAGAGTCTTAAGAATTTTTCTCCCCGAGCTGGCTCTGAACTGCAATCTCCTGAATACCTACGAATATAAACATGAACCACCACACCAAGCCTTATAGCTGGCAATTCTTAGTTATGTTTTCCCCTGCTCCCTTATTTGGCTCCAAATTTCTAAATACCATGTTACACTATTTTCAGCTTTAAGTATTACTGAATTCCTATCTCAAAAGCTGAAATTTTAATCCTTATATACCACTCCTAAATGTACACACACACTCCCCTTTCCTTCAACATTGAGTATTTAAATTGGGCTTAGTAAAAATTATTGATAATTTAGTATCATATAACATACTATTGTTACATTTCCTTTTTTTCACATCCTTTGGTTCTCTTGAATTATAACTGCTTCACTTCTCATTTGCTTTGTTTTCTATGTACTTATTACTAGTAGATTTCCAAATTCTTTACTAGAAAGTGAAAACATTCAAACACTTTAGGTAATCTACCAATTATATATTTTTCCTTGAAGATAATCCTTCTAAGACACCCAATTAAAAATAAATTAATATTAAATACAAGTATAGAGCTTTCCAGTCTCCTCACCTATCCGAATCTGGCTGCTCTATGAGCCAGTTTGATTATTTTTCCAGGTATATTTTACCATTTTAATTCATATAACAATCTGGAGTTGCCACTTCCAGAAAGACAATTATTAATTTATTACCTTATTTAACTATCATTTCATTTATTATTTTATTTCTCTTAGTAAAGATATATAGATGTTTTCTTTTTAATGTAAGCTCACATTTATTCCTGAGTTTATTCTCAGGAATAAGACTTTACATATATTTCCATACATATTAGTATTAGTTATATGACGTTTAATATTAAATCCATTTATATATAATTACTATTACACTTAAGATATATTTCAGCTGGGCACCAGTGACTCATGCCTGTAATCCTAGCTACTCAGGAGGCTGAGATCTGAGGATCACAGTTCAAAGCCAGACCAAGCAAGGAAAGTCCATGAGACTCTTATCTCCAATTAACCGCCAGAAAACCAGAAGTGGCACTGTAGCTCAAGTGGTAGAGAGCTAGCCTTGAGCTAAATGTTGAGGGACAGCGCCCAAGCCCAAAGTTCAAGCCCTACGACCAAAAAAAAAAAAAAAAAAAAAAAAGATATAGTTCAACTAAATGGGAAAAAACAAAAAAAAAAAGGATTATTCCATCCATGGATACTAAGCCTAGCATTTTAGTACTTCTTAGAGGTGTATTTCTTTGGGTTCCTTAAACACAGCTAGTTGGCATCCAATCCTCCACTGAATTTCCTAACTGCATCACTTTCTTGAAAAACTAACATCAATTCACAATTCATTAAAGATTTTTAGGCACCTAAGTAATCCCACATTTCTTTCTCATGGAAGTCTAATTCAATATTGGTAATTTTTTCTTTAATTATAGTCAAAAGCAAAAATGAGAACATCCTAGTAACAGAAAAGAAAATTGGTGCATTATCGACTGAACTGCAAACAAATATTACTTCTATGTCTATTTCTAAATATCAATCTCCATATTAAAGAATGCTTTTCTTTTTAGATATAATCAAAAGACTAAGAGTTTTGACTGTTGCTTTCTTTTAATTAATTAAAAGCTCCCACTCCTAAATACCTAGAAGAGCTCTTAATTAGTAAGTTGTCACAGAATTTTAGACTCTTATCAAAGACATTTACCTCAAGAGTTGTTCTAATATCTTCACTCGAGGGAATCTCCTATACACCCCACTAAATGCACTTCTCTCCAACTCAGCTTTACTTAGCTTTATTCACTTTACATTTCTTTCCTTTTCCTCTAATTACTTAAATGTTATCATCTCTGAATTTCTTTGTAGGACTTCAGAAGCCTGAAAAAACCTGAAACCTGTCCAAGAATCAGCTCATCCTATTTCTTCTAAGTGTGTAAACACTGTTTAAATGTTTGAAGTATCACTGTAGATTACTTCTCAAGGCAGACAGCAACCAAACATTCAAATGACAGTTTCTACTCTTACCTCTATTGCTCGAATTACTTTAGAAAGTTCCTTAATAAGATGTCCAGGTCTAACATTGTCTGGAATTTCAAAGGCATGTTCAGATACAAGCTGTAATTTGAATAAACAAAGAAAAGCAAAGTTACTTTAATAAGTAAAAATAAATCTACTAGATCAATATTTGGGTTGTCTATACACTTTACACCCATAGCCAGATAACAGTAAGCAGCCTAGTTTCACAATTCATGGAGCTGGAATGATATAGTCTAAGGAGAATATCTTTATTATAGAAAGACCTCTGAAATTGAGTTAAAAATCTCAGTCAATCTTGCTTTGTACTGAGTAGTAGCTTTACATTCTATACCTCAAATCCTACTGTGATTCTACCTATAACTACTAATTAACAAACAAATCAATTAACCCTAACATGAATTCACAATTCATTAAAGATTTTTAGGCACCTAAGTAATCCCACATTTCTTTCTCATGGAAGTCTAATTCAATATTGGTAATTTTTTCTTTTATTCAAAAGCAAAAATGAGAACATCCTAGCAACAGAAAAGAAAATTGGTACATTATCAACTGAACTGCAAACAAATATTACTTTTACATCTATTTCTAAATATCAATCTCCATATTAAAGAATGTTTTTCTTTTTAGATATAGTCAAAAGACTAGAGTTTTGACTTTTGCTTTCTCTCCTCTACTTGTTTCCAGTATAACTTGTTAGAACAAAGTAACAATAAAAGTGATATTTAAGTTGGATGCTAGTGGCTCACATTTGAAATCCTAGTTACTTAGGAGGCTGAGATCTGAGAACTAGAGTTCAAAGCCAGCCCAGGCAGGAAAGTCTGTGAGACTCTATTTCCAATTTACCATCAAAAAGTCAGAAATGGAGCTGTGGCTCAAGTAGTAGAGCACTAGCCTTAAGCTAAAAGGCTCAGGGACGAAACTAGGCCCTGAGTTTAATCATCAAGATGGGTACAAAAAAAAAAAAAAGTGAACCAGGGTGTCAGTGACTCATATTTATAATCCTAGCTACTCAGGAGGTTAAGATCTGAGGATCACAGTAGAAGCCAGCCTGGGCAGAAAAGTCCATGAGACTCTCATTTCCAATAAACTACTCAGAAAAGGCCATAAGTGATGCTGTGGCTCAAGTGGTATAGCACTAGTCATGACCAAAAGCAGCTCAGGAACAGCAACCAGCCCTGAGTTCAAGCAGGAAGGGTGTAGGGGGGTGGAGGAAGGGGGAAGAGGAAGAAGAAAAAGAGGAATAGGAGGAGGAGGAGGAGAAGGAGGAGGAGGAGGAGGAGGAAGAGATGAAGAGATGGTATTTATAGTGTTCTCATAGTGCAACATTAACACATTGAATCCCTTCAATAATAGTATGATATAGATAATACAGATTGAGTATCTCTAATCTGAAATGCTGGGTACTGAAAATGCTTGGAAGCACTTCAGATTTCAGCTTAGGATTCCTTAAATTATTCCTATTTTACAATTGAGGGATCTTAGGGAGAGATTAGGTACACTATACCAGAGTGATAAAGTTTATTAGTAGCAAAGATGAGATATAATTCTAATCTTTTAGTGTAATTTTTAACCATAATGCTCTGCCCTTATCTTTGAATAAATTTAACAGAAATATAAACATGTTCCTAAAGTGCATTTCAAATATATTAATATTATTTACCCATAAACATAAATTTATATATACATAGAAAGTATCCCATTTTGTTTTATGCCTGTCCTTGGGGCTTGAATTCAGGGCCTTGGCCCCGCTTCTGAACTTTTATGCTCAAGGCTAGACCTCTACTATTTGAGACACAAGCTTACTTCCAAGTTTACTTTACATTGGAGATAGAGTCTCATGGATTATCCTGCCCTGCTGGCTTTGAGCCACTATCCTCATGTGTCAGCCTTCTGAGTAGCTCAGATTACAAGTATGAACCACTGGCCCCCTCCCTGGGACATTTTTAAGGTTTTGCCCCAGATCTACTGAACCATAATCTCTTGAGGATCCATGGGTTTTATTTTTTTAAAAGCAGTAAAAGCAATACTGAGATTTGAAAATTATTCATCTAAATCCTCCCTCATGAGGTAAATCACACCATTTTTTTGCAATATATGCTTTGTTTCTGTTAAATAGGTGTTAATTTGCTGATGCATTTCCTACATATATAGATGATGAAGTCTTTGACAATGGAAAATGTGATTTTTATTTTCCTGATAATTTTCAGTGCCTGTTCTAATGGATATGTATCAGAGATAATGAAATGAAAAGGCCTATTAATTATTATCTCCCAATATCTCAAGAGCAGAATTCCATTTCAAGTGGACATCCAAAAAACTAGTATGGAAATCATCAGTTCACATATGTATCATTTATTGAAATAGTGTATAAAATTCCAGAGTTGAAATAAAGTTGACAAAGACAATCCTTGTTCTTTAAGAAGAAAACATGAATAAAGTATGCATATTAACTGTTAAAGCACAAGGAATATAATATGGAGTTGTAAGGGAAGGATATAATAATTCCAAATGGAGATCTGGTATGACCTCTTAGATGGAGGGGTTAAAGTACAAATAATTTAGTAAAAATGGAAAGTTTATGCTTGAACCTTGCCTCCTTCTTTCCCTCCTTTTTATAAAAGTCCAGCAAGTGGTAAATCATTGAGGCTTGCAATCCCAAAATGAGTTTTATGTTCTACCTCCACCAGTTCTCTTGCATGGATACCTAAATGGAGGCACCAACAGCATCTAGACCTTTTACAGTTACTTTGAGAATTAAATGAAATCATGCACATAAAGACTAAGCAAAAAAACTTAGCACTCTATGAAAGCTTAATGTTATTTATTCTTATTCACTAACTCTATGTTCTTAGTCAATATCTTAAATACATTTGAATTACTTTTTCCAAATTAAAAAGATGAAGTATTTACTTTAACAAATAAAACCCGAAACATGTCTATACATACTGTATAATAAAATGAAGGCTCTATTTAAAGTTTGATTTCCATTTTCTCTACAACTAGCACATACATGCTGCCAAATCAGCAAAAGAACTCTGTTTACTAATCTTTCTAAAAACCAGAAACAATGACTTACTTCTTTTTTCATCCATAATTTTAAAGCAGAATGTAGTGCTTTCACTCCCTGTACTAAGTAAGTTTGAGGCTGGAAACCATCTTCTCTCAGTTCTGTAGAACGAAGGGGGACAGGGAAAGGAATTAAAATATTCTGATAAAAGAAAAAAGTAATAAAAAAAAGAAAAGACCATAATAAAAATACAAAATAACAGTAATACAAAATACAAAATAACAAAATAATAAAAAGTAGATAATGAAATGATCAATTCAAAAGGCAAAAATAAAAAGAAGCAGAACTACATTAAGTGTAGTTTTGGGTTTGTTTTTTTTTTCTTTTTTCTGGTCCTGGAGCTTGAACTCAGAGCCTGGGCATTGTCCTTGAGCCGCTATGTGCTCAAGGCTAGTGTTCTACCACTTGAACTACAGCACCACTTCTGGCTTTTTCTGTTTATGTGGTCCTGAGGAATCGAATCCAGGGCTTCATGCATGCTAGACAAGCACTATACCACTGAGCCACATTCTCAGCCCCATTAAGTGCAGTTTTATCCAAAATATTTCAGTTAAGAAGACAAAAGCTGTCAGGTGGCGGTAGCTCACACCTGTAATCCTAGCTACTCAGGAGACTGAGATCTGAGGGTTGTGGTTCAAAGCCAGCCCAGGCAGCAAAGTCTGTGAGGCTTGTCTCCAATAAACCACCAGAAAACTGGAAATGGCCCTGTGGCTCAAGTGATATAGTGCTTCAGCCTTGAGCTGAAGAGCTGAGGGACAGCAACAGTGAGCAGGCCCAGGGTTCAAGCCCACGACTGGCCGAAAAAAAAGAAAAAGAAAGAGAGAAA